GGGGAAACAACCTCTGCATCAACGTCAAGAAGAAGAAGGAGATGATCGTGGACTTCAGACGGAACACACACGTCCATCTCCCCCTGCTAGTCAAATGATCTGCGGTGGAAGTTGTCTCCAGCTACAGGTATTTGGGCGTGCACCTGTCCAGCAACCTCACCTGGAGCAATAACACCTCCGTTTTGGTCAAGAAGGCGAATCAGCGGCTCTATTTCCTCAGGCGGCTGAAGCGCGCAGGACTGGGGAGCTCAGTCCTCACCTCCTTTTACAGATGTGTGGTGGAGAGCATGCTGTGCTCCAGCATAAACGTGTGGTACGGCAGCTGCTCTGTTGCAGACAGGAGAGCTCTGCAAAGAGTGGTGAAGGTGGCACAAAGGACTGTTGGAGCCAACCTCCCCACCGCCACAGACATCTACACCTCCAGATGCAGAAAAAGGGCCTCCTGCATCATGAAGGACCCTACTCACCCAGCACACTCACTTTTTGTCCCGCTCCCCTCAGGTAGGAGGTTGCGGAGCATCAAATGCAGGACAACCAGACTGAGAAACAGCTTCATTCCAGAAGCTGTGCGACTCTTAAACTCCCATCACTCTCCCTTATTGCACTGCTCTTAGCTATACACTTTCCCTACCTGTAATATTGTGCTCTTGTAGCGACTTTATATTTTATATTTTATACTTTAATATTTTTGTATTTTTTATTTGGATGTAACTGGGGCTGTGACTCTTAATTTCGTTCCATCTCATGTAATATGTGATGTGAATGACAATAAAGTATCTTGAATCTTGAATCTTGAATCTCTTATTCCAAGGAGTACTGGTCAAAGGTTTAATGGAGTGTTTTCAGAAACATGAAGAAAAATTACTCAGAACAGAAATCTGTTAACCTCTCCCTCACATAAACTTTATTCCCATCAATGTGGTTTCCTGTCACTAGGAACACTAAGGACTCTACACGTGTTTATAATCCTGCTAACTTGATTCTTTATGTTATAAGGTCTACAACATCTCAGAGATGAGTAAAGTAAACAAGATGGTTTTAGTTTTAAGACTCAAATRTTTACATTATGAGCAGTGGAAGGAAAGAGTCTGATGAGGACACATACAGGACAAAGACAGGTGTTAGCGACCTACCTGACAGGGAAAAGTTGATGAGTCTTCTGTTGCCCAGTCCATGGTTGACTTGAGGACTCACCACAGGCTTTAATGCCTAAACAAACACACACACACATCAGAGATGGGCTGTAAAACTGGTGCTTAACCTAAAAAATACAACACAAAACAGTTTCTGCAGCTCTTCCAAACCTGCATCTTTCCACTCATTTCWTATGAATTTTTAATGATAAAAGAAGAGAGCCACTGCAGCCAAACAGTAAAATATGACAGAAAAATAACAGCAACATCAACAAAAACACACAAATACATGTTTGGTGCCAACTTATTTCAGCATGGTGTTTTTAAAGCTCAGATCAATAGTTCACCATTCTGAGATTGATTCTTCAGCCAGGAAGAGGAGGAGCGCGGTGAGGCAGGAAGTGAGAAAGGAGGCAAATGTGTTAGTTCCACGGTGCAGCGAGCAGGCTTTCATGGAGGTCAGGTAAATATGAGCCCTGCTGCATTATTAAAAACAAAAAGCCATTCAGTTCGTACCACTGTGATGAAGGTGACCCATCAACACTTAGACCAGTGGTTCCCAACCTTTTTAGACTTGTGTACCACCAGAGCTTTTTTGTCATAGTACCCCCTCTGTCAAATGTAATGATTCTACAAAACTATAATGTACAACAGCTAATAATTAAATGAAAATTATTTATTTAACCCCCTACAACCTTTAATTCATGGGCATTTCATTCTTTTCAACTCAAATTAAATATAAAGATAAATATGTTGCCTTGAAAGTGAATAAGTAATTAAATAAATAAACCAGGTAATGGCAGGTGCAGGAAGCAGCAGCGTCTAAAAATATTGTCCAAAATACATCAAATACCCCAAATGAGACAATTCTACGAGATTCCGCATTTTATACAGGACTTCATTTTGTGTCAGTTTCGTGATTCCGTTTGCATTTTCTGCATTGTGGAAATCATAGAGCCCTACATGTCTCAGTCCTATTTTTATTTATTTATTTACACACCTGGGAAATTTTTCCATGTACCCCCAGTAATATGCTCACGTACCACAAGGGGTACATGTACCCCTGGTTGGGAATCACTGACTTAGGTCTTGGCATCTTCTGTGATTTCAGAATGATACAAGGTTCCCATGTGTGGTTGAAGTCAGCTAACTAATGCTGAGCTTTTCTGCTGCCAACTGAGGCAGTACCAGAGCTGTAACACTAAACATGTGAACGTGACAAGACTGAATGACTCACATGAGAAATCTGAGAAGCATTGTGAACGCTTCCAAGACATTTTGAAGACCCCCTTGCAAACGCTGTTCTCCAACTAGTTGCCAGCAGTTTGTAACATATTTTATTGATTTCCACTGATTTTTAAATGCATTATATCAATGTTTCCTGCGCATAATTCAGGCTTGTATTCTTTCAAGTTGCAGCTCAAAGATACCGGCTTTAGGTTAGTTTCGGGTGAAGACGGAAACCATGGCGAGACAGTTTTATATTGAGGTATACAGAAGCAGGTAAAGGACACTGCTCAAAAAAATAAAGGGAACACTTAAACAACGCACGCTAACTCCCGATCTTAATCAATGAAATATTCACATTGAGTACTTTGTTCTGTACAGAGTTGAATGTGCTTCACAAAAGTTTGATTTACTTGGACTTAGCGTGTGTTGTTTAAGTGTTCCCTTTATTTTTTTGAGCAGTGTATTTTCATTCAGTCAGAGTTCTCTACATCGTGACTTTGTTGATGGAAGCTTGGTGCCCAAACGAGGTAAGAGTTCATAAAACTGCGATAAATTCTGAGACTTTCACAGACTCAACATTCTTTTTCACTAACTCAGTCACACAGGCTGCAAAGACACTCAGAATGTGGACAAATGTGTACTGACTGAATAATTACAGTTACCCGGACTATCCAGCTGAGCCTCRTTCTCCGTCCTCTCCTCCTCTCATTTCGACGTGGGAACAACTGTCCCAGCTGGAGACACTTGCCATCCATCATGCACATGAACACCCGATCGCCTCAGTTTGCAGCATCTAACAGTTTTTGAGCAGATACAGCTCCCCGTGTCCTCCTCTGCTTTGTGTGGTCGGTCCACCGCTCCTCCAAAACCCCTGCCTGGCTTCCATGAACGAGACTGATCTCTGATCTCTGTGCTTGCTCTTTCCCTGTCTTCCTGCCTCTCCTGTGCTGGTTATTTATACTCCTTTGTCCTACGGAAGAAAGTACAGATCAAGTTCTGGGACCATCAGCATTTTCTAGGGCCCACAGCAGCACATTGTGAAGGCAAACATGGAAATTCAATCAGCAGTCGCTTGATACTAGAGAGCTGAGTTGAAGCTTTGGAAGGACAATAAACCTTATTTTTTTTTGTCAAATCCATTGGCTTGAGACGGTCTGGTAGCATTTTTAAGCTTAACTAAAATAATTGGGTATTTCTGTAAGAATGCAGTCGGTGTGAATGTTAAACACTTAATGACTGCTGAAATTTGTAAAAAATGTTCCAAGTCATTAATAACTGTGCTTTCAATATTAAAGTATTTAAAAAAGAAGAAAAGCTAGCCTGGCCCTTGCCTTCCTACACAGTTCTGCTCAATTCTAGTTTCCCTTCACTGCTCCGTCTGGGATTTCTCCCGTTGATAGGGTTTTATAGAATTTATTAAACTTCTTGAGGTGTTTCAAATAAAGTTTTGAGGTACGTGACAAATGTGTTGTTCATCATGGCGTGTCCACAGGAACACAGAGTGCGAGCAGACAGAAACTGCTTTGGAGCAGAGCTGGTAAGACAATGATTAGACCAACTACCGAAATACTAAACATTCCTGTAAGTTTCCATTAAAGGCGTGCAAAACAAGTCTGTGTTGTTTTATTATTCAAATACCAAACCCCAGCAGCAAGTGTTTTTGATTGGTTTTTATGCCTATGACGAGCTTTGGTAACTGATCTCTGATTTGTTGTATCATTGTGTGACTTCATTCCTACGTGTGTGAATAAAAGACAGTTCACATCCGCAGAGTTCAGAACTTCTCTGAACTTCACTAAGCTTTCGAGCGAAGTTAAGTATCACTGAACTTCTCCTTTGCAAAGTGAATCTATAAATCTTACTGGTCTCTGTTGTCATTGTTTAATGTTCGGCGGGGTTGTTGTGTTTCTCTGAGTTCTTAGGTTAAAAATACCGAACACCCGTAGACAAGGATTTCTTCAGGAGAATTTCGTTGGGGCCAATCAGAGAACAGAAGGCAGAGTTTTGAACCACGTCTATTTTCTGCACAGTGTCTGCTAGTTAGTTTAGCATATGGCAGTGGAGGAAGTGAATGAAGCCAGTCTGTGTTGATAAGGCTTCAAATTAAATTAAATTTGTCTGACAAAGCAGCAGCTCTCATTTACAGTCGTCTCATTCGGCTCGGTACTTCTCTCCTCTCAGTAGGGTTGTTTACAGCGCACACTATTTTCAGTTAGCTTCTTAGCTTAGCCTCCTTCACAGTGGAGCTGGCACACATACATCGTGGCCAACCGATTCAATAATTTAAAACTTCAACAGAGGCCACGCCTCCAGTAAGAATCACTTCCCTATAGCTGAGAGTCCAGACCCTCGTATAGCAAAGCAAAGGACAAGGGTCTGGTTTTAACCAGGCTAAAGTAAAGTAGGCATGAGGAAAACAACCACAAAAAGATGGATATCATAAGTAGACAAAAAGAAAGCCTAAAGGAGACATAACATGTTTTTAAATCTTTCTTTTTCACATTTAAATCATTCAGTTGGGGTCTATATTGCTATTGTGCTTCCACCATATATGTGTATTGGAGAGACAACATCTGCTGGAAACAAATTCCTTATGTGTGTGTGTCAACATACTTGGCCAATAAAGCTGATTCTGATTCTGATATAAAGTGAAACTGCAATGCTTTGGACTGAGTTCCTCCTTACTGTAACTCCACAAGCCCCTCTTTCGCCCCTTCTCTGAGGTGTGTCTCAGATCAACTCGTTTTGAGGCTCTTTAAATCCAAATGAGGCAATTTGTGGGCCAGATGTGAATAGGCAGAGAATCAGCAGAGTTTGTGAAAGATTTAGGACATGCGGTTGAGTCGGCCCTCAGTAAAAGTACAAAGACCAATCCAGAATGTAGTTTTAAACATGTGAACAACTCAATGTTTATTCACAGCAGTGAGTTCAGTTCATAAAAAAACAGAACATTATCTTCAAGGATTCAATGAAATTGGCACCATCAGGATAAACACACACAGAGAAATACGGAGCAGGCACAAATATCAGAAGCTTTGAAGAAAACTTTCCACGAATACGAAGGCAGTCAAACCGAGATACAGATTCTCTCACAGACAGATCTCCATCACCTCAGGTACAAAACATGACTTCAGTCTATATTTCCTTTTACTGGTGAAAAAATCTTAAAAATAACTATTTTATGCTTTTAATTGTGTCTGATGTTTGAAATGTAGCAAAAAAATGTATATTTTTCACAAATGTTCACTATTTTCTTATAGGTTAAATTGTCTTCATGACTGATTCAGATTATTATTCTCCAGTTACAGTGTCTACACTTAGCTGTGAATGAAAATCATATTTCTAGTTAATGAATTTTTATTTGGCAGCACAGAGTTTAGGCTGTTGTCCAGCTCTCCACAACAGTCCCAGCTTCATATCTGGCTCTGGTGAAAAAAATGTTGATCACCCCTCGTCTACAGTGTGCTGATATCCAGTCTGTTCAAAATATTTCACTCCTGTTCGAACCAGGTGTTTGCTCAGACAGAAAGATCTGCAAAATTCTCAGCTGTCTGTCTGCTGCTGACCTTCCCTGTCGCTCACATATCTGAACATATTTCTGCCAAATCTAACTGTAGAAACTGTCTGGATGCAGCTGACAGCAGAAACAAGCTGTACCGTCTCAGCCTGCTGCTGTGATGGGAGATCAGGCAGGTTGATTGATGGAAGTGACCTGCAGGAAC